AGAGCAGCGTTTTGACATCAGCCATCACAAAACTGCCTTCATTAGGATCATTTTTTACAAGAGGTTTCATTTTCTGTCTCAAAACCTGTGCCCCCCCAGATCAGTCTGCTGGGGCTGTGGTGTCCTTCAGAAGGGCTGTCCCTGCCTAGCAAGGGGTTTCTAGCTGGCTTTGGGAATGAGGGGTCCTGGAGAAGAGAAGGGCATGGGGAACCTTCCTCTAACTGTGACTCTGTGGGTGGGTAACACCAAGCATGACTCCTGTAGCCCTTCTCCACTGCTCCTTTTCCCTCTGAAGACTAACAAGCTGGTTGTGCTACGACCTGTCTGTGCAGCCTGTTGTCCTGGGGAATGCCACATCCCCCCCTCCACCACACTTCCAGCCCCCCAAGTGTGTGTCTCGTGCAAGTGATGAAAGCAGCTGACTGCCTAAGGATGATTATTCCATGGGCTGACTCCCTAAGCATGGTTGCTCCATGGGCTGGCTCCATCCCTGCCCTTCCAGCCAAGCCAGCATCTTCCTAAGACCCTGTCCCAGGGGAGAAGCAGCAGGGTGGGGCAGCAGCCTGGTCAGGTTGCTGTCGTCTTGTTAAGGAGCCCAAGACCCCTCAAGTTCCTTCCCAAGGATGCTACCTCTGCTTAATCCAGCTCCTGGGTGACCGAGCTCTTCTTTCCAGGCATTGCCTTAATTGCAGTGGGTGCAGAACCTGGAGGGACGCTGGGTCGTGCGCTGCCCTCTCTGTCCCTCCTTGCAAAGAGCCCACAGTGATTCTGAAGCTAATTAGTTGGGTCTGATGGTGCCCAGGATGGTGTCACTGCAATCAACTCAGTGACCACCTAGTGCCCCGAGCCCCCAGCACGCAGCTTTGCTTGATCTCCACTTGATTCCAAACGCCTGCATTGACCTGAATCCTGCTTTTCCCTTCTTGTCTTTGCAGATGGAGACCTGACGGACACGCTGAGCTGCCCACCCTCCACTGCCTCAGAGGCCAATGGCAGCAGGGGCTCTGTGAGGAGCCCAACACAGCGCCACAACCCCTTCAACCAGGAGAAGGCTGAGGCCCTGTCCTCTGCTGACACCACGCCGGTGCACACGGCTTCCCAGGAGAAGGCAGAAGCCACCCCTGAAGGAACGGACCAGTCTGAGAGCTGCACAGAGCTGGAGGTCATCAGGTGAGGGGCAGAGCTGGCTGGCCTGGAAATGTGCCCCTGAGTGTCCTCTGTCACCAGGGGCTGGTGATGTGCCAGCCTTTCTAGCCCACTGGAAACGCCATCGGTGGTGTAGCCTTTATACAACCGTAAGAAAGTGGGGGTTTATACCTCCAGAGACCAACTGATGCTCTGTACATGTCAACAGAGGTGATCTCATGGGTCTGTGGAGCTGCAGGCTGGCTCAGCATCAACCCCTTTGCTTAGGGGAAGCCTTGAGCTTCTATTTGAAGCTCTCTCCAGCTGGTGGCAGGTTTGCAGCAAGTGTCTCGGATCTTCTCTCCCACCTTTTTGTGTGTCAATGAGCTGTGGCTAAACCTGTTGAGGGAGATGCCTCCGCAGACCTGCTGGCCTGTGTGTGGCTCCTGCAGAGGAGATCCCCAGGGGTCCCTCAGAGCCCTTCAACCCAGACAAAGCCCAAGGCTCTGTCTGCTCCCACCCAGGGACAGGCACACCTCAGAACCAGCCCAACAGGCCTGTGCTTGGCTCTTACTCCCTGTTTTTCATGGGAGGAGCAGAGGAGCTGAGTTACAAGTCACCCATCTTTCCAGCAGAAGACACACATGAAAGAGAGCACTGAACTCCTTTCCCAAACCAGAGTTTGGGAAGTCTGGCAGCAGTTTGGGTGCTATGGGAGGCCTGGACACTCCCACCACTCGTGTCCCGGCTGCATCTCCCTCTCCCGGCAGCGGCGGGCACGGCATCCCCACCTCCTCCTGAAACCTTCTCCCTTCCCAGCGTCTTGCTCTCAGGGGTTTCTCCCAGCTCAGTTCAGCTCCACGTCCATTTCTGTTCCCCTTTGCACCCAAGGTGCTGGTTCTGTGCCTCTTCTATTTTGGGTAGGTAGGAAACTGTGTCCAAACTAGTTTTTTTTTCCTGCTTTTCTTGTGGGGTTGACAGGGACACGCAGGGGGTTGGACTGGATGATCCCCAGAGGTCCCTTCCACCCCCCAACACTCTGTGACTCTTGTTTCTTGTGCTCCCCTGGAAGGCAGAGTCACTCCTGGCATCTAAGCTCAGTTTCACCTTCTGCATTTGAAGCCTGTTGTTTGAGGGAGGAGCAGCTCTTTAGCTCCTCTGAGCAGGCAAAGAGGAGTGACTGGTCTCTCACCCCGCAGGTTGGCCAAGAAGAAGAAAACGAGCAAGAAGAAGAAAGCAAAGCCTGAGGAGGTGGTGAACACCCCTCCTGCAGTGCTCCAGGGCCAGCAGCCCAGCGGTGACAGCAGCCTGAACGGGCTGAGTGACAGAGAAGAGCCCCAGAGAGATGCTGGCCCCTCGGGCGAGGCGCGGGCGGGCGGGCAGGAGGGCGCTGAGCGCGCTGCCCTGAGCGGGCTGGCCTTGCGCATCCCCGGGATGAAGGACACGTCCATGCAGAGCCTGGGGCAGCCGCTCAGCAGGGGGATGGACAAGCTGAGCGGGCAGCTGGACACCAGTGCCTGGGAAGCCCTCCGGGAGCCCCCCGGGCAGTCCTTTCGGACTGGCACGCCAGGGGAGGCCCCAGATGGATCGTCCTCTGGCGACTTTAGCGAGGGGATTTCAGCCCCCATGGACTTCTACCGCTTTACCGTCGAGAGTCCAAACGCTGCTGCACCAGGTGGTGGCCACCATGACCCTCCAGGGCCTGGCCAACCGGCACATGTTTCTGGTAGCCCTGAGGCTCCTGAAGAAGAAGAAGAGAGCGGAAAGGGAGAAGCAGTTGGGGCAGTAGAGGAGTCTGGAGGGACAAGTGATGAAGCCCAAAGTGGCCAGATGGAAACCACCGAGCCCCAGGGTCTCCGGGAGCCGAAGAAGGAGCAGCCCAGCCCTTCTCCAAGCAGCACTGAAGACTCTGGTGTGGAGGAAGGGCAGGGCAGCCCTTCAGAGCTGACCCATCCCTCTGAGTTCAGGTGAGGCTGGCTTTGCTCAGCAGGGAGAGCATCTCCCAAACAGTCTTGAGCTCAAGCTGCTGCTTTGTCCTTGGTCTGGGGGGCAAAGCTCATCCTTCTCTGGGATGAAGATCATACAATCATAGAATGGTTTGAATTGGAAGGGACCTTTAAAGATGCACAAAGTCAGGAGGAGAAGGTCTTGGGTAGCCAACAGGTGCCCAAATCATGGACAAGTTCAATAAAGAAGCAGACTGAGACACTGCCCAGGTTGCCCAGGGAAGCTGTGGCTGCCCCATCCCTGGCAGTGTTGAAGGGCAGGTTGTGTGGGTCTTGGAGCAACCTGGTCTGGTGGAAGGTGTCCCTGCCCATGCAGGGGGTTGGGACTGGATGGTCTTTAAGATCCCTTCCAAACCAAGCCAGTCTGGGATTTGATGATTCTATGAGATTGCCCTTCCTGGACCCACACAGCCTCACATCTGTGTCCACCCTCTACTGTCTCTTCACAGGGTGGATAACAACCATCTCCTCCTGCTGATGATCCACGTCTTTCGGGAGAATGAGGAACAGTTGTTCAGGGTAAGTTCGTTGGGATCCATCTCCCGGGTAGGACCAGCTCTGTGGCTGCAGCAGCTGAGACCTCCTCTCTCTCCACATAGATGATCCGAATGAGCACGGGGCACATGGAGGGGAACCTGCAGCTGATCTATGTCCTGCTGACTGACTGCTACGTGTACCTGATCCGGAAAGGTATCCCATCCTGGTGCTCAGCTGCAGGGAGGGAGGCTCACTTGATCCAGGGCTTATCCATAAACCAGGGCACTGTAGCTCACTGCCTTCACTGCCAGCTCCTACCATTCCCTCGTGTTCCTGGCAGTCTCAGGGAGGAGCTCAGGTTGACTTGTCCCTTGAGAAGCCCTGGGACACGGTTGGGTTTGCAGGTCCATCCCTGCAGCTGCACATCCCTGGGCAGTGCTGAGCTCCTGTGTCCCTCTTCACGTGGCTCTTTGTGTCTGTGCCAGGGGCAGCAGAGAAGCCCTACATGGTGGAGGAGGCCGTGTCCTACAACGAGCTTGACTACATTTCGGTGAGCACAGCCTGGGGCTGTTGGTCCTTTGGGGGAGCAGGAGGGGAGCTGAGGGGCTCTCCTCACCTCTCTGGCCACGGGGGTGTCAGGAGCATTGTGGTGGGGTGTTTCTGGCCACCTCTCTGTCCACAGGGAGAGTTTTGGCCAGTGAATCTTCGGGACTGGGGGAGCTAGAAGTGATCCCTCTCCTCAAATGCCACCCCTTGGTTGCTCGTATCTCCACACGGGCAGCAGAGCGACCAGTGACCTTCTTCCCTGGGGCCAGAAGCCAGGCTTAGCCCTGCTGGACCACCCCTTGTCCCTCACCTGGCTTCCTTACCCAGTCATCTCTGGCACAGGTTGGGCTGGACCAGCAGACAGTGACCCTGGTGTGCACCAACCGGAGGAAGCAGTTCCTGCTCGACACCGCGGACATGGCTCTCACCGAGTAAGCAGGAACCAGGTGGTGAACCATGACACTGTCCCCCAGGGTGTGGGACCTCTGCCCTGTACCTTGGACTCCCAGCGTGACTTGGGGAACACAAGAGACTCCAGTGGCAGCCCTCCATGACAAAGTTCTGCCACCAGTGGGGCTTTGGGGTTTGGTTTGATGCCAGTTGTTAACCCTGTGGGCAGCTGCAAGTGCCCTGAGCATGGAGAAGGCCAGAGTGTCCTCCTTGGATCTACACAGTGGTCACCCTGTCCCTCAGGCTGGTGGCCTCAGGGCTCTGGGACATGCAGACTGTGTCCTTTATGTCACTTGAGTAGGGACAATGTCTTGAGTTTCCAAGCATGTCCACAGGTGTATTGTCAGCTCAGGGAGGTGAGCTGTGTAGGGCCTGGATGGTCATACTGGGATCTGGGTTGGGATGGATGTCCTGTCTCCCAGTCTTACCCAGGCTCCTTCCTGGAGTTCAGACTTTGCAAACCTTGTTGTCTTTGGTCTCTGGGTTGATTTCAGGACCTCTTGGTCTGAAAGACCAGAGGCCCACATTGAAGGGAAGCCCCTTAGGCATCTGAGTGGAGATGAAGGGCTGTTTCCCCTGGGCCTCATCAGAGATCTCCATCTCCCTCTCAGGTTCTTCCTGGTCTCCTTGAAGTCAGCCATGATCAAAGGCTGCCGGGAGCCCCCATACCCCAGTATCCTCACAGATGCCACCATGGAGAAACTGGCACTTGCCAAGTTTGTGGCCCAGGAGTCCAAGTGTGAGGTGAGTTTGGATATTGTGGCCATCACTACCTGTGAGGGAGGCTCAGGGAAACTCCCTCCTGTTGATTTCTCCACCTGACTTGGCAGGCCTGCAACGTGGTTGTGCGTTTCTATGGCCTCGTTCACTGGGAAGACCCCATGGACGAGGCGCTGGGACCCACCACCAACAGCTGCACCTCCATGGAGAACACAGTCACCAAGGATGGCATCCTGCACTACAAGGCAGGGACTTCCTACCTGGGCAAGGAGCAGTGGAAGACCTGCTTTGTGGTGCTCAGGTGGGTTCTGGGACTGTGGGTCATGACTGGGGCTTGTTGGAGAAGGTGCTGGGACCAGTTAGCTGTGGAGGAGCTGCCTGGGAGGTGGAGAGAACCCAGTTTATCACCTGGGAGGCTAAAGCCACCAGTTGTAGTCACCCAGCAGCAGGAACACAACCCCACAGAGGGGCAGGCAGGGCAGGAGTGTCTGTGGGACCCAGAGGGTGTTTGTCTCCAGTGACCACTTCTCACCTTCCCACACGGCAGCAACGGGATCTTGTACCAGTACCCGGACCGCACGGACGTCACCCCTCTGCTCTCCATCAACATGGGGTAAGTGGTGGGCAGGATGTTGCACCCAGACTCGTGGGGATGTGGGGATCAGGAGCTCCTTGGGATGTTCAGGGAGGTGTTTGGGGACAGATCATGACCCCGCCTGTGCCGCAGGACTCTCTGCTTACTCCTGCCTGGGTCAGGTGCCCGTTTGCTTTGGCTCTGGTGCAGGAAGCTGGAGATGGGTTTGTTTCCTCGTGGTTTTTGCACACCAGGCCCACCTTTTGATGAGGAATTGGCCTCTGAAGGGCTGATGTGCCCCTTCAGGAGCCAGGCTGGGCGACCTCCACAAACCCACCATGCTCAGCTCTGGCTCCGCCACGATGTGCAGACGCCATCCTTGGAGCAACCACAGGGGATGTCACAGATGGGAAGAGAGTGCTTGGGGGGGCAGGGGCTGGCCTGCAGCCTCGGGAGGGCAGGTGGGGACAGTCTCCTCCACCCCCCTGATGTCCACCTCCCCTCTCTCCCAGCGGCGAGCAGTGCGGGGGATGCCGGCGCTCCAACACCACCGACCGGCCCCACTCCTTCCAGGTGATCCTGACGGACCGGCCCTCCCTGGAGCTGAGCGCCGAGAACGAGGAGGACATGGCAGACTGGATGCAGTACTTCTGCCAGGCTGTCTCCAAAGGGGTGAGCTGGGGACAGGCCCCCCACCTGAGCATGGGTGCATAGAACCACAGAATGGCCAGGGTTGGAAGTGACCTCTGGAGATTGAGTCCAACCTCCCTGCCAGAGTAGGACCACACTGGGAAGGCCACAGAGGAACGTGTCCATATGGGTCCTGAAAGTCTTCAGAGAAGGAGACTCCACAACCCCTCTGGGCAGCCTGTCCCAGGGCTCCATCACCCTCACAGGAAAGAAGTTTTTCCCCATGTTGAGGTGGAACTTCCTGTGTTCCAGTTTGCATCCACTGCCCCTCGTCCTGTCACAAGGCACCAGTGAAAAGAGACTGGCCTCTTCTGGACACCCACCCTTCAGATATTTATAGACATTAATATGATCCCCTTTCAGTCTTCTCTACTCCAGACTAAACAGCCCCACAGCTGTGGCTGCCCCATCCCTGGCAGTGTTGAAGAGCAGGTTGGATGGGGCTTGGAGCAACCTGGGCTGGTGGGAGGTGTCCCTGCCCATGCAGGGGGTTGGATCTAGATGATCTTTAAGGTCCTTTCCAACCCAAATCATTCCATGTTTACGATTTTAACCTCTCCTCTCCCCAACCTGGTGCAGGTGATCCCCCAGGGTGTTGCCCCCATGCCTTGTGTCCCCTGCTGCCTCGTGCTGACAGATGAGAAGGTTTTCACTTGCCATGAGGACTGCCAGACAAGCTTCTTCCGCTCGCTGGGCACAGCAGAGCTGACGGACATCAGCGCTGTCTCCACCGAGGCCAGCAAGGAGTACTGCATCCTGGTGAGCCTAGTGCTGTGGGACTGGCTGGCCCAGGGCTGGGCAAGGACCACACTGGTAACACCCAGCCCCTCTCTTGGTGTTTAGGAGTTTGCTCAGGACCGTAAGCAGTTTCTGCCCCCCTGGGTCCTCTATTTTAGTTGCACTACAGAACTGGAGAGGTTCCTGTCGGCGCTGAACGCCGCGTGGAGGAGCATCTACCAGGTGAGTGTGCCAGGCTGTGTCACACCTTTCCTCTGGCATCCTCCTGGGAAGGAGTGGGTGGATTTTTTCCCCAGCTTTCCCATGAAGGGCAGGAGAGCCATGGAGCATCTCTGTGGCTGTATAACTGTGGGGTGTAGAGCCTGAGTCCCCTGGTGTGTGGGCCATGACATTGAGGCCTGCCAAGGTGAGCAGGGAGGAAGGTGGTTCAGCCCTGTCCCCCTCTACCACCCACACTGATGACACATGACTTCCCCACCTGTTTTTGAGGTGGTTTTACAGCACGGGACAGAAGCAGCTGTCCTTTGTTCCCCCCTCCGACTGCCCCACACGTGTGTTTCAGGTCGACCTCCTGCACAAGGCCATTCTGGACGCTGCCATCAAGAAGAAGTGTGAGGATGCCCAGAGCCTGATCGGCAGCGCCTGGCAGCGCAGCGACAGCCTCTGCCGCGGGCGGGCGGAGCGGGACCCCTGGTGTTAGCCCTGCCCGGGGGAAGGACAGCTGATGGGGGCTCCTTTTTGGAGAGCAGAGCCTGTGCCCGGCTGCCCCGCAGCCAACTGGCCCCCAAGCCCTCCTGTCATGGCTCAGCCCCCACCAGGAGCGTTGCCTGCAGGCAGGAGCCTGTCCCTGCCACCCTCTCCACTGAGTCAGGGACATCCAGCAGGTTTTGGGGAGCAACCAGATGCTTCACCAGGCTGGAGGCAAAGTCAAGGCCTGCAGAGGAGACTGTGCCCTCCTTGTCCAGCTGCCACGGGGCAGAAGGATTTGCCTTTCACAGAATAATATCCCACTAGTAGTGAGGGAGAGGGTGGGAGCGGGGTGGGCTGGGTGAGCATCCCCCTGTCATGATGGGGAGCCAGAGTGAGGAGTTGTTCATTTTAGAACAGGGTAGAGGAGCAGAGGTGGAGATGGGAACCCCACACTGTGGCTGTGCATGTTTTCTCCTTGCTGATACAATCACTGAGTCTGGCACCGCTTGTCTCCTTCTTCTGGCATCTCCCAGCACCAAGAGATCACACCCACCATGGGCCTCTGGACATCACAAAACCATTTCCCAGCCTGTCCATGAGACTTGAGGGTAAGGAAGAAGAACCAAGGCCAAAAATTTGGCCTTGAATATCCCAGGGCTGTTTTAGGAGATCTCAAAAGATGACTTTGATGGTTGGACACTGGCGCCATGTGCTGGGGGAGAGAAGAGATGGAGTCTGTTCTTCAGGTGTCCTAAAGGATGTTGTCACACAGCTGCCACCAAACATGTCCCCATCTTATTGAGTTGCTGCATCCCGGGCCAGCGAGGACCTGCCCTCCACAGCCAGGCCTGTGGGGCACAAGCCCAGCTTTTAAATAATAATAATAATATTAATAATTATAATAATCTGGAGACCTTCTCATGTAATATATGTTCACGGGGCCTTTTTTGGGGAGGAAACGTACATGACTGAATGTATATGTATATACATCTGCTTCGTTCCCCCCTCCCTGAATAAAATATCCATTGGTAACTCAGATTTGGCCCTACAACATGATTCCAGCTGAAATTCCTAGGCTGGGGGCCGCATTCCCTCCTCCCCCCATGATGTTCAGCCACTGCTTCACTGTGGGGCAGAAGGAGAAGGACAAAGGGGAAGGATGTGAACCCCCCGCGGCGTTAACCCTGCTTCTGCCCCTCTGCCGCGGGCGGGCGGAGCGGGACCCCTGGTGTTAGCCCTGCCCGGGGGAAGGACAGCTGATGGGGGCTCCTTTTTGGAGAGCAGAGCCTGTGCCCGGCTGCCCCGCAGCCAACTGGCCCCCAAGCCCTCCTGTCATGGCTCAGCCCCCACCAGGAGCGTTGCCTGCAGGCAGGAGCCTGTCCCTGCCACCCTCTACTGAGTCAGGGACATCCAGCAGGTTTTGGGGAGCAACCAGATGCTTCACCAGGCTGGAGGCAAAGTCAAGGCCTGCAGAGGAGACTGTGCCCTCCTTGTCCAGCTGCCACGGGGCAGAAGGATTTGCCTTTCACAGAATAATATCCCACTAGTAGTGAGGGAGAGGGTGGGAGCGGGGTGGGCTGGGTGAGCATCCCCCTGTCATGATGGGGAGCCAGAGTGAGGAGTTGTTCATTTTAGAACAGGGTAGAGGAGCAGAGGTGGAGATGGGAACCCCACACTGTGGCTGTGCATGTTTTCTCCTTGCTGATACAATCACTGAGTCTGGCACCGCTTGTCTCCTTCTTCTGGCATCTCCCAGCACCAAGAGATCACACCCACCATGGGCCTCTGGACATCACAAAACCATTTCCCAGCCTGTCCATGAGACTTGAGGGTAAGGAAGAAGAACCAAGGCCAAAAATTTGGCCTTGAATATCCCAGGGCTGTTTTAGGAGATCTCAAAAGATGACTTTGATGGTTGGACACTGGCGCCATGTGCTGGGGGAGAGAAGAGATGGAGTCTGTTCTTCAGGTGTCCTAAAGGATGTTGTCACACAGCTGCCACCAAACATGTCCCCATCTTCTTGAGTTGCTGCATCCCGGGCCAGCGAGGACCTGCCCTCCACAGCCAGGCCTGTGGGGCACAAGCCCAGCTTTTAAATAATAATAATAATATTAATAATTATAATAATCTGGAGACCTTCTCATGTAATATATGTTCACGGGGCCTTTTTTGGGGAGGAAACGTACATGACTGAATGTATATGTATATACATCTGCTTCGTTCCCCCCTCCCTGAATAAAATATCCATTGGTAACTCAGATTTGGCCCTACAACATGATTCCAGCTGAAATTCCTAGGCTGGGGGCCGCATTCCCTCCTCCCCCCATGATGTTCAGCCACTGCTTCACTGTGGGGCAGAAGGAGAAGGACAAAGGGGAAGGATGTGAACCCCCCGCGGCGTTAACCCTGCTTCTGCCTGGCTCTGGGAGATGCTCCCAGTCTAGACAAGGAATAAACAGCCCCAGGGGCACCTCCCAGTGTCACCCACCTTCCTGTTAACCCTCCCTTCTGGAAGTGAAAGGGAGGATATCTGGGGGGGAGCAGCTACCAGGGGGAGGATTTGTGTTGGTTTTTTTCCCCCTCCACCCCAGTAACCCCCGAAGGGGCTGTGCCGGGGGGGTAACCCCGGGTGCTGAGGTGTGGAACCCAAAAATAGGAATGGGGAGGGAGGAGGGGGCAGCGACCCCCCCTCTGCAGCTTTTTGGCCTGGGAAGCTCCAACTTCAAAGCATTTGGCGAACCCGGAGAGGGGCTGGTGTGAGGATGAGACCAGATCCCCCCTCCCCGCC